AGAGAGAGAGAGAGAGAGAGAGAGAGAGAGAGAGAGAGGAAAGAAGATAAACACGATGAGAAATATAATATTTTCTTAAGTGTGTATATGTTAACGCTGCAATATACGAATATAAAACAACCGATGTTTTATCGCCTAATCGTCTACGCGACATCGCTATCTCGCCTAAATGGATTCCTAATTTCTAATGACGCCACTTCGCTCACAATCGTTCCACCACCAACCACTTGCCCCGAGACTAGTCGGAGAAGGAAGGCGTCCAGGACAAGCTCGGGACAGCTTCGTCATATATGGCCGGTTAAGTTCGTCTAGACAGTTGCCGCCAGTACCCAATCTCCAATTTATCTGGCCTCCCTCCCCTTCCCTTGCCGGTCTCTCCGTCTCCCGCATCTTGAATATTCCTACCTCCTGCGTGAGGTGCCCGCAGGTGACGAGGAGGAAACCCAAGGTAAATGCGGAGAGATGCATCGTGCGTCGACAGACACGGCGACACGTGCTCGCTATCTCGAGCTGCAGGGCATTAGGAGGTCCGAGATAAGCCTGACAGATCTTGAAACTACGGGTCCGGGATAGTAGGGCAATCGTAAAACGGAGTCTGCCTGGACACGCAGCGACAAGTCACGAGAATGATCGGCAGAGACGATCGACGATGAACGACGCGGTAACGATGGAAAAGCAAGATACAGTTATCAGAATGCATTAGAGCGCTCGTAGAGACACCATTAAAGGCGCATTTGCTCCCGCGTTACTTACAACCGAAGTTAGTGTAAGTCTCGCGAAGACGGTAGTAGGAATCTCCACTATATTTTTCAATGGGTGCGTAAAAAGTGAGGGCAGAAGGGGGGAAATATTCCGTTGCCATTAACAGAGAGTACCTCTGAATGCACTTCCTTTTAAGAACTTATACATACATCGCATCTTGATGTTATTGTTGTTGCGCTTTTACGACGCCTCCCGACCGCCTATTGATTGATCAGGCCCCGTGCATCTAACCATAGGTGGCGATTTAATTCTTTTCTAATTAAAAAGAACTATCCCTTCTTCTTTCATGTTTTGACAAGATACAACAAAGCTGGTACAGAATGTACTTTGACTTCTCTTTCGCAAGATCGTATCTCGATTTTACGTAATAAGATATGTCTGTTTAAACGCTATTTATAATCCAAAAAGTTGCGTAAAATCGAAATACGACCTTGCGAAAGAAATCAATCAATCAATCAATCTGCTTTAATGTCTTACGAAATGATTTAAAAAATCGTGTCAACACACGTGTGTGTGTGTGTGTGTGTGCGATAACATTTAAAAATTTTACTTTGAGTTTTAATTGTTTACTGTACTGTACTAGACTGTATACGTGTACCGAGATATTTAACGGTGCATTAAATAATAATTTTTGATTGAAAAATCTAAATAGAGAGACCGTTTTCACACAATTTCGCAAATTAAAGAGAAAAATCATCTTTTTCCAATAGAAAGTTATCATTCATTGTCTTCATCTCGAGTAATATTCGTTCCTAACAATACCTCAGTGTTGCAAAAATGAGTAAAATGCTACACGAAGTGTTACATATCACCGCACAAGTGGAGCAGCGGGATCTCGTTATGTTGCCTTAACAACTTTGTTAAGAGATCTCTTATTGATATTCGTATTTCCTAATCAAGGAGGAACGTTCGTCCGTGAAACCTATTTTCGAGACATAAATTCTTTGAGCCGTAAACTTTAGATTGCGATTGCGTAATAGAGTCACGAGAGAGTTGCAACAATATCATGTTCTCTCTCGACCTGAATATATCGAATATACATTTTCAATTTTTGTTCAGGTATCGCAGGTTTTTCTTCGATACTTATCAAATACACAAATCCTCAAAGTATTGTATTTTTGATGGAGATTCTCAGATAAACTCAGATAGCGACTGCAACATTGCAGTCATTTATATCATACCTGAATATCTCGTTCCAATTAGGAACGCCTTCCCAACTTCTTCTTTGAAGAGTTCGTTCTGCGTACTTGACACAAATTCTCTCGTAGATGCAAACGTTATTTCCGAGCTCAGCTACTAGCTTCTTTTCGACTTGGTCGACATCTAAGATCTCTTCGTCGTGTATCAAAGAGTATGCTCGTTTCATTCGCCTGACATAAGTATCTAAAAATTGAAAGAAAATACTTTTGAAAGATGCACAAAATAATTCAAAGATTTGATTTAGTTTCTTTATTAAGATTTAATAACCGCTCATCTACAATGTTAGAAATTTTTGCTAAAATTTTCCTCTTTGTGTGTAACAAGTAACTATATAATTTTCTAGGTAAATACGATTTCAATTCGTTGCTTCAGTTAATTTGTCTGATAATTATAAAGCATTTCGAATTTTGCTGTAACGGCCTTGTTCCGATCTCTTGGCGCGCGTATCCGTTTAACGGTAAACAATCTCAGTCAATTACCGAGTCATTACATAGCTTCTCAATCGGAGAGAGAAGTTGCAACAAGTGGAACACTTTCGCTTTCGCTGTTCGCTGATTTGACTTGCGTATTCTGTGAGCTAACCGTGGAAAAGGCAAATAACTTATGACATGTAATACTTTTGTATTTCACGCTTAGTGCATCATAAATGCACTAAAGAAATGTCTGATAATCCTTATAACGTTTCCTCCGAGGGAAAAGCCGCTGACCAAAATCTTGTACACCAATGCCCACTAATGCCTAGTGGGTTTAGATAGAAAGATTACTTTATTTTATTATCTCATTTTATCTTATCTATCTTGTTTTATTTTATTTTATCTTATTTGGTTTCATAATGCCCCAACAAGGCCTAATGCCCAAAAATGCCTAAAAAATGCCTAGTAATGCCCAGTAATGCCTCAAATCTGTATAACCACAATGCCTGCTATTCCTGCTCATAGTGCTTACTATATTTGACAAATATCACCCAGAAAAAAGATTTATTTAGGTTAAACCGAGGGGGAAACCGCTGAGGGCATTGTGGTGTACAGATTTGAGGCATTACTAGGCATTTTTGGGGGATTAGTTTCGGCATTGGGCCTTACTGGGGCATTATAAAGATAAAATAAGATAAAACAAGAGAAACAAGATAAAATAAGATAAAAAGATAAAATAATACCCACTGGGCATTAGCGAGCATTGGTGTACAAGATTTTGGTCAGCGGTTTCCCTCTCGGATTAAACGTTGAAAGTTAAACAAATGAGATATGTTGAAATCCTGTTTCTTTGAATCTAGAAAATTGTTATTTATTTATATTAAAACATTTGCTAGATTTGAAGAAATAGAATTCTCTTAGAGATTCCAGTCTCGATCAAATAAAATTTCGGTTAAGGTAAAGAAATCATTTCTTTGAAATTAAATAAAAGTCTGGTAAGGTCAAAATTGAATAAAAATTTACTTGATTTGAAAGGGACTTTTTTCTAAGTGCAATATATGCATGTGTATAAATAAGAACTGCATTATTATAAAATACTTTTTACGCATATTACCTGGACTCAAAGCATATGCGAGCTTCTTGATGAAGTTGGTGATTCTTACGCTTGCTATAATTACCGGAAACCCAATCAATTGGACTGGGACGTTAAAGAGTGGCTCGTTTTGACCAGTCACCGTCACAAGTGTCAATGTCAGAAAGCAGCAACCAAAGCGCAAGAACGTCCGCGGCAACTGCATTATGTGTTGGATCTAAGACATTCATTAATTATTGTAAAAGTGCTGTGAAACCGACTCGACTGACTGACACGATCGTGGAGAGTAGCTTCCGCTATTGTGAGTATCTCTTCCTTCCGTCGTGCAGCTTTCTCTACTTCACACGAAAGGATAACTACTTTACATTACTATACATATAAAAAAACAATCCTCACTTTGCAATTAAGAGCGTTGCAATATTTATAGTCTTCTTATTTATTTTCTTAATTAATTTTTTTAATAATAAGAGGGTTTTTTAATAATAAAAATAATCACGTTGTTCAATTGTTTAACATTTATTTTTACTCGGTTCAAAATTACGAGCTATAATAATAATTAAAAAAAGCACTATGAATTATACTTTGCGTTATGAAAATTGAGCGGAAGCTTCGCTTGTTTCTGCAATGGAGCTCTACGTATTTACAATTCCCTACATATTTACAAAGCATTAACCGCGCACTTCACGTGGTCCAAATCATCCAATCCCGCCTCCGCGGACAGATCGATCGTTACTGTTATTTTAAAGCACCATCATTTTGCAACTCATAACAAACACTAATATCGCTGCACCTTTAATCTGCCGATATCGATTTTCGCGTTCGATCATGCGAGCCGCACGTATCGCTTGAAACGCGGCACTTGCAACGTACCCACGTGATTTCGGTGCACCGGTCAAAAATGCACAGCTGACGAACCGGCGGCTAGTTGCTGTTAGTTGTTGCCTTTGTAAAAACTTGTTGCAGAATGTTCCTTGGAGCACCATGAGGCCGTCGCTCGTGTCGACGAAGAGAAAGTGATTGCCCCTTCCCGTCGGCGGCGCCTTCGATCCGACAGTTTCATGTTACAACATTTGGTACATCGTTTTGAGGATTTCCTCAGATCGTTGAAAATGCACCTCCGCGGACGTAACTTGGTTCTTCGTGACCAAGGTCGATGTGCCAATGTGAACGTCGCGTTTCGAAATTGATACGCGACGATTCGATTAGATCTCTTCTGGCAAACCGATATCGCGAATTTCAGATAAATTTTGAGAGAGCATTTCTTCATATCGCTAATTATCGTTAATCTGTTGCAAACGGAACTCTTAGCGAGGTGGCGAGAGGTCATTTAAACCACGCGTTTTTCGAAAATTAACGATTTAATCCAACAGAAACGTTTGATTGATATTCAAAGAAGTATGTGGACATTCTTTCTGTTTCGTAAGTTATGTGATCAATTATTCAAATAATTTAAAGGATGTCGTAAAATGGAACTCTCGCAAAATGTGAGGTAATGTATCACGAATCGTGAACGTTTTGAATTGAGTTTTTTATTTTACTCGTGCCACATACGAAATACATAGATGCACGTTTACTTATTGCTTAATAATTAATTGATTTTGCTTTCCTTTTCTGGCTCTATTGTCCTACTTTCGAGTGTCAAGATTTCGCAGAATTAATTACGTATGCAGTGCACAATGCAACGTTACGCGACAGAACGCAATCGAAATGCAATAAATTGTGCAATCGTAAACATTCAAGAGACTTCTTGAAATGATTACAAAAGTCTACGTGTGTATCAAAGTCTCAACGAAAGGAATCACTAATTAATTATATTTATTAAAGCTACCCATCGTTTTTAAAAAAGTCAATAAAATTGTTCTGGCTTCAGTTATAGCTGTAGTATGCATAACGAAAGAGGAATTGCAGCTGGAAGGTTGCACGTGGCTTGGCAGCGGCGCGAGAAACGTCAATAAACTCCGGCGATATCGCGCGATAATTTTTGCGAGGATTCCGAATGTGTCGCTGGTTGTTTCGGAGGGCGACGGGAACGGTTAGTGGCGCGGTTTCATCGGCATTACGTCCCGTTCGTCCTCGCGTATCGCGCCAGTTCTAACTGCTAACCGAGACTCTTGGCACGATCTCGTTTACGATCGCATGGTTCGTTGGGAAACGTCCACTCGGGACGAGTTGGCATCGGGCTTAAGTCGATAAAGACGCCGGCGATTATTCTAATAATTTTCGCGCGTTTCCCCGCTGGGAGCCGGATTATATCCGGGAATGGCAGTCCTGTATTAAAATAGGAGAAAGAATAGGGCATAGAGAGCGAAGATCGGGAATTCTGATAATTTGGCAAAGCGTCACCATGGGACTTCCTACGGAAATGCACGATTTTCGGATTATTGCATACAGAGTAAACTTACGGCAATGTCCGGGGGAATATTTCGCAACAAGAAAAAAAGAAAGAAATGTTCGGGGTATTCTCCAGTGGCAAATTCCTTTGCCGTTTCTTATTGAAACACAGTAATAATATGTCTATAACACAGCTATATTTATGATATAACAGTGCACAGAGTTATACGATTAAGGGATTATTATACAGACGCGTTGTAAAAATAAGATTTCCAAATACAAAATAAAATCTAAAATTAAATTATGCGCAGTACAGGAGTGTTCTATAATCGGAAAACGAGAATATTCAGTGTTTTGAAGTTGCAATTTATTGTTGTTGCTTCTTATTAAAAGATGGTAATATGTACAAAGTAACAATACAAAGTCACAATAAAAATAAGCGATTGTGTATGTGCGAAAATCATTCTACTCGCTGACGTATCAGAAATGAGTGACAGAAATACATAAAAGCGAGACATGAGTACTTATTAACAAGCCAATAGTAATATTGAGCACAAATGTGTCACTTTTTAAATTTACAAAAGTAAATAACTACACATCAATTGCAAAATCTGGCGGAACAACTTTTTGAGATAAAAAAAAATTAGACATTAACAATATTAGTTCAAATACTCAACAATTTAGGAATTCAATTTACAAACTAGAACTTTTCCTTTATGATCTAAATAATATTTTTAATGTCGCAGAACATTGTCATTTTTTTCCTCGGTAATAATTATCATGAAAGTGCTTGCGCACCGTTGGCATGTTACATCGCCAAAAACGCGATTCATCGCTGATCGCGCGAATTGAATTTTCGATGCTAGCAATCTCCCGAGTGCGAGCAAAAAACAAGCATCCACAGTATCACAGGTTTAGTATTCGTCGATTGCGACGGTTACGGTGGTCACGGCTCATCGCTGTAAACGAACCTTCTTCATCATGTTCAGAACGCTGATCCCCGGCAACGGGCACGTCGGGTAAAAGTTATGACAGCCTTGACCTTCTATACCAGAAATCAGTTGACCCATGTGAGCCGCGAAGTGGTACCTCGACGGCACTTCCGCCAAAGTACTCAGACTTGTATCCCTGAAAGTAATAATAGAGCTTTCATCAGCGTGACAAATTTCCTCTCATGTTGAGATGCAACTCGTTAATTTCAGCAAAATAATCGGTTCATCATAAAATCGATTTTTTTGTGCGCCAATCAGTAAATTTAAAATTCATATAAAAATATTTTTATATCTGAATATAGGTGTTTTGGAATACAGCGTACGATACGTAATGTCGTGGCAATGGGTAAAAGTCCTTCTGTCTGACAAACCACTGCAAAACCGAGCCGAGTGTCGAAACACTTGACTATATTAAACTGGTTACCAGCATGATGCATAAAGAACCAGCACAAGGTAACTCGCCTTTTACTTTCGATATCGACACCAACTAGCAAACGTGTTCGTGTAAAATCCGGTTACACCCAGTAAAAAAACCAGGATGTACTATCGGATCCTTTCTCTCCTTTATACTGCACACTTGAATTGCCAGGCAAATCGATTACCAAACAAGCAAAATCTCGTCGTCTTTTTTAAAACGTCATAAATTCGAAATCTTGCACAAGTATATATTCCACTTTAAACAAGCCCGTAATCCTTGGATTTCTCTCGCTCTTCCTTTGGTTGGTGGAATAATTTAGAAATGCTTGTAGAAAGCGCCATTGAAGTAAACTATTACGACGGAATACGGGGCGGCAAGGCAAATCGCTTTCTTCCGGATTTTTTCCCCTCGAGAATTCTCGCACGTTGCTTCGCGAATCTATTTCGCCGGATTCCCGTGAGAACTAAAATCGACGTCGATTGCCGACAATTTTCCGCCTTAAAAATCGTCCTGATCCCGTCAAAAGCGCACGAATACCTGAATTCTTCGAGAAATCGTTCGACCTGTCGGAAGAGCAAAAGCGCAGCAGTTTCGTTACGCATGGCTCCCGCGGAAGACGTCTTCCTCCTTCGGGGAAGAGAGAGGAAGCGCTTCCCCCTTTACGATTCCGTATCCTGACTTCGAAGGGGCGCCAGGATATAACGAATAAACGCAAAACGGCTTTTTAGCCTCTCCATCTTGATCGGTTTAACCCGGAGCGATCTGCGCCGATAAAAATCGGGCCCCGGGATGCGTCAGAATGGACCGGCGTTTACGCAGGCATAAAAGTAAATATAAAGCTCGGATCCTTCCGGGACATTAACCGCGGCGCAAGGATCGCTCCTAGGGCGGATCCTCTCTCGGCTCGGGGGTGCCCACTTTCGCGCCAGGAAGACAATCAAGACGCGTGAGAGATAACGCGCGCTGCAATTTGCCCTGCTACCTACGTCCTCTAATTGTATTTAAAAGTCTTACTTGGAAACTTTCCGGGGAAGTTTTAATACGAGAGCTGATATTTTCCACAATCATCCCTCTTATGCGTAACTTCTATTTCATAGACACGCCTCTGCCTTCCGTTTTGATAAAGACCGCAGAGTTTTTATCTTATCACAGGTACATCACGTTGAAGTTTTAACGAGTGTGCAGCGTTGTGTAAAAAATATCGTGCATTTAAACGAAAACAGAAACGTATTATATGTCGGACAATGCCGTCGTTTTGGTTCATTATACTTTCTAATGGAACTCGCTTTTCTGCGTCGATTCATTTTACTGTTCGTCGACGTCGTTTTCGTTTAACACGCGGACGGAAGTGAACGGCCGTAATAAATATGAGACTTTTATTTCAGCTCGTTGCTTTAGGGATAAACTCTTTAGAATCCACCGATTTACGATACATTGTATAAATGCTCCTTTTCATTTTTTTTTATGTTATTTATCGACGTGTTACGAGAAGTACTTATTTTATTCGTTTATTACTCGAGGCGCCGTTCTATGGGACAAACGCCGTCAGAGAAAAAGGATAATAAAATGCGCAGGAAGTTCCAATCTCTAGTTATTAACATGAGAAACGAGAAGATGCTAATGAGACATACTATTTTGTGGAGAAACAAACCGAAAATTGTCAATAGAAATGTCCATATTAATTTGTTTGTTTCTTATAGCGGGTAAAAGGCGAAGTAGAAGGTATATAGAGTTTATACTTGATTCATGAATAATGCGAGAAATGTACGTTCGCTTCGAAAACGAAAACAAGATCTTTGTCCACGATGAGCGCGAAATGATCTTGGAGAGTGCTCTTAGCTACACGAGCGACGAATTAATTACCCAAGTTGGAAGCAACTCGTTTACTTTCTATCAGCTCGCGGCGTTTGCCGATCGCGAAGATGTATTGCGGCAAGCCGTAGTTCCGGGAAGGCCGAACGGTAGATGCGAACTGCCACGTACCGCGGAGAAAGTACGTGGATTGGATAATCTGTGAAAAGGAAAGTGCTCGCTGGGGATAGTTACGGCGAGGTGCGACAAGAGGCGCGCATTTTCGGATGGAACTTACGTAAGGCAACGCGAACTTTCGCGGTAGCTTTCAGCTAACATACTTTCCAAAAGGATGACGCGCGACGTACACTTAATTCGCGATCCGACGTGCGATCCGCGAATTATAATTGTACGTCTCTTAACAAAGACCGCTAGAGAGATACTGTTCTAGACGATGATAAATTGAAACCGATATGTAATCGCCAATGAAATATTATGCTGAGACACTTTGCGGATACAAACGATTTCGCAAACTTTTTCGTAAAATGTAATCGATGGTAAAATGCTGTATGGAAAGATCTGTTTCGACTTTTAGAATAATTTAACCTGTTTTTGTCGCAGAGACTAGATTAGCAACGCACCAATTCGCTGGGAGCACCTTCTCCTTCCCCGTTTTTGATACGCTCACATTTTAAATTTAACGAATACGTGTTCGCGCTGCGAGGATCGACACGAATGTATAATTAATACATTCATGTTGGCAACTTCCGCGTATCGGGGTCCACCGCGACGATACATTCCGCGCTGTGCAAATATGGGAAATTTAAAAGCGTTCCGCGGACGGACACCGCATTTCCCGATTTTACCGCAGAGTCCGTTTTAACGTAACGTTGCTTTTAATTATAACGTAAAACGGCGCGAATTCGCGGTATAATTCTTTGCATTATCCGCATAACGCGGCGAACGTGTGTGCGCGAGGCGGTACGTAGCCGCATTTTACCTCCGATCGTAAACGAAAATTGCGAAATACGCGCGGGCGGCGTGCACGCCACGCGCAATTGTCCCAGCGTCCAATTTTCCCGGGCGAGCAAACGTTTCTCGTCGGATGTTTCCTGTGGTCACCTACGCCGTCGTTTTCCAAAACGGCCCGTATAATTGTAATGCACGGGTGAAATTATTATTAGCTTTCAGCTTCGCTGAGTGAAAATTGCAAAATCGCCGTTGCTCGACGTGCCCGTTCGTCAAGAGCGACAGTCGTCGGTCTGCGCTTTTTAAGAAACGCAGCCGTTCGCATTCTGAAAAATCACATTTCTCCTAGTTTTCCCCTTATCTACGTGATCCGAGAGAAATGTTTTCGTAATCTTTGCACATAGCGCTTGCGTCTCAGGGTCGACGTACCCTGAGCAGTTTAGTTGCAATGCCGATCGAAAGTTGTGAAAGTAAGAGCACTGACTGCCTCAATGATGAAAGTAGATTCTCACCTTGCTATGTCAACTAAGTTGAGCACCGACCATCACCAACCGCCGATCATTGTAGAGATTCTCCCCCCAAGTGACTTTGATAAAAATCAGACATCTTTACGATGACAAGTTTGCCATTTGTTATTTAATATAAACTGAGTCACTTTCTCTTCTTAATAATACAAACGTGGAAAAGGGGAAATAGATGTAAATAGGACGTAAAAGTTACCTTATAAGATTCAAAAGAGATCGCTCCATTTCACTTAGTTGGTCTGGGTGAACGGATTTGGTGAGTTCGCATATTAGCTTCGGCAAGCAAGCAGTTTTGATCGTCGCCATCATCTTCGCACGGCGTAAGGCAACTGCACAAAAATCGGAGTTACACTGTCAATTATATCGTGGCACATGCAATATCATTCTGAGCGATGGGACGATTAATGGATCGCGCAGGCATTATTCCGAATGACCACGCGTATTCCTATGAACCGGCTTTGTTTAATCGTACGATAAATAAATGACAAGTTAAGAGTCAAGAACGCCGGTTGCAAATTTCTAAAGATCTGGGACGTGACGAGGACACTTTTACTTTCAGCAACAAAAGTGTCCCCGTTACGTCCCAGATCTTTAGAAACTTAATTCGTGTACAAATGTATTAGTACAGCCATTCTATTTTTGCTACATATTTTATTTCCGGTATTGAGAGGCAAAATTGTGACGTTAACTTGCTGTTAGGAAAAATTTCGATGATGCAAGACATAGAAAATAATTTAATGTTCCGTCGTATTTTTTAATATATCTAAACATTTATTTTTCTTCTGTTAATAGAAAAAGTAATTTATTAATCAATGGGTAATTACATATATCGTGATATTTATCGCGACAAGTAACATGTACTAAAATCGCGAAACATCATAAATATATTATAATCGTAACCATTAATTAAATATTATCGTTGAAAGATACATATATAGAGTCTATCGCTCGCTAATTACACTATTAATCTATATTTAAAAAGCATACTACGCATACTCCTCGAAATCGGATTGAAACTCATTTTGCCATGCTCCACTTTCCAACAGCATTTTCTCGACCGAGAACTGGTTATAGTTGTAGCGAGATTTCGATAAGCCGCGTGACAGATGAGACATACATTGAGTGGAGGGGATCTCGATAATGTTGTCAAATAATTAAAACGGACGAGCGCGCAACTAATTAATCAATTCGCAGAGTAGCAATTAGCTCCACGCGAACTAACAAGCGTAACTCGATGAATAATGGTATGACGACACACGTGCGTGTGGATTTCGTGCGCGAATGTATTTTTATGCAACGACTGTGCGGGGGAAATGCTAAGCACTTTGCAGGCAAGGATATCTTACACAAACTACAAAATTACAGCCCGAGTCAGACATCGTCGCGTTTCCTCTGAAGCAAAAATATGATTTCACATTATAAGAAGAAGATTAGTATCTGGTTCTCAATTTACTTTGTACCTACTGCAATTGTGAAAAAGTTTCATATCACGTCATATCGTTTATCCTTTATATTTTCATGTAATAGACACCTCACGAAATCCTCATTCTCTCTTACCGTTATTCTTATCGACGTCTGCTTTCGAGACAACGGGCGCCTTTTCATCGGGCCCTCTGAGCTGAGCCTCTGGTTCTTTTATAGTATCAGTTATGTTCTTCTCCGTAGTGTTACCGAAAATTGAGGCAATTAACGCGCTATAATCCCCAGCGAAAACCAGAAACATGCCTATGAATATCACCAAACGCATCGTACTGGTGTCCATGTTGATTTCAGCAAGGCGCTGGACTAGGATAACCCGATAACTTGTTGTCAACCTCCTAACAATCCTATCAGACGCAAGTCTGATAAAATGATGTCAACAAATCCACAGAGATAGAGAATTACATCTGGAAAAGCATGAAATATCGAGCGGATTTTATTTATTGGGGAACAAATTCGAACGTAATGAGATTGAAAAAAATTTGATCCTGTTTTTTTTCTACTTCAAAATACATATAGCGTGTAAAAATGTGTGAAATGAAAGTGTTATGATTATATCGAAATCCAGTTGATCGCAGATTATATTCCGGTTGCTTGTTCGTTACATGTATATCGTCAGAAAACATGATATTCACCACAGGTATAAAATTATGTATCTAATGTATCTAACGTAAATGCACAGACGTCGATTCGCAGCGATGACTCCGACGATTTTCAATGATCACGTATTATTACGTAAACACGCAGTCGATCATGCCCCGCGACTCCGAGAGCCATAAGTTCGCCTTAACCTGAATTCTCGAAGGTACGCAATTGCTTATACGCGTGATTGTCCGAACAAATACCTGTCCCTGGACCCGCAATCGATGTAACTGGCCAGGCGGCCGACGCGCTGTGAACCGGTCACGGTTTTCTCTCTCTCTCTCTCTCTTTGAAAAGAGAAGAGAAGACTCTCACTTTCTGTTAACTTCCACTTTCTTCAAGATCCGCCGCAGCAATAAAGCTAAATCCTCTTACGATGTCCGTCTTACTTTCATCCGAAGCGACAAAGCTCGTTCTCGAGAGCCGCGGCCGCTTCGAGCGCGACGTCGACGACTCCTTTGTATCGTCGAATGCACTTGTAGCACACGGGAGTCGCGGAAACGACCGACGAAATTGTAACGGGAATTCTCCTTCTACTCCCTTGTTCCAGGAAACACGACGCAAACGACGCGAGACCTTTCTCTCAGCGAGCTGTAACACCGTCGTCGAGCGGGAGTGGCGCCGGAATTCACTCCCGAAGTGGCTCGCATTTGCGGATGACGTCGCCGATTATAATTCGCGCTCACGGCAAAGTATTCCTATATTCCTCGTGAACGCGAACGATGCGATTTGCCCATTAAAACGCGCGCCGACGTGTACGAAATTTCGGAAAGCAATTAACCGAGAAGCGGACGATCAATCCCCGAATGTCGACGTCGAAAATCACGCGCGCGTTCCAACTCGCTCGCTAAATCAAATCACGCGTAAATCGAAATCCACGGATCGTAACTCAGCATCGCGCGCCGCTCCTGCGATTGTATACGTTGCGTGGCTGCAACAAATTTCTCTGTCTCTCCATTACGCACAATCGAAGGTCCACCGTGAAAAATATCCGGATGAAATGTTGGACGTCGAATATCACTGTGTCACCAGGAGACGTCTGGTGCGAGACGCAAACGAGCTCGCAATAACTTTTCGTAAAAACCGGAAAAACGTCCTGAGCGAAACGGAAAATTTGCAAATGTCCCACTACGTGTCGTTACCGATCTATCACTAATACGCGCACTTCGAAGTGACAGCTCACCGTCTTCGACGAGGAGAGAAATACGGGCAGCGCTACCGCAGTCTGTCGAAGTCGCGGAATGACTGTGAATGACTCGAAACTACGGCGGCGGACCTAACGAGTCGTCAGTGAAAGTTGACCGATCGCTTGTAAGTCCATGAGTTTCGATGGCTTGCAGTTCCGCGGGCTCGACCGAGGCGAACCGCATGCGAAAACGCGCTGTTTTTATTATTTACAATAGTTATATTCAGAGGGAATATCACTCCGTAACATATTGCTCTTTAAAGTCGGAAAAATTACGATAAGTACGAAAGAAGGAAGCATCTTATGCCGCGTGAATGAGAGAATAATTTCGAGGAAACGAGTTACAATTACTTACAGACATTTAAAGGAAAAAATTTAATATTATTTTCATAGAAAATAAATCGAGAATAAAAATTATAAATGCCAGATATACATTAGTGTTTATTAGTGAAAGTTAATTTCTTACTAATCTTGCGAGCGGGAAATAATTATTTTCCCTCCATTGAATTTCCGATAAATGTGTAATGTGTCTCGCGATATCCACTGCTGCCTCAAGAATGATATCGTGTGAAAATACTAGGAAAAATAAGGAGAGTCAATTGAACGGTGGCAACCGGAGCAGAAAGATGATAACGTCAGTGGCTAATTAACAAGGTAGAGCCGATTATTACGTTAATAGATCGGTGTATGTAGCAAGAGCTTTCCAATTGCGTGTTGATTTTAACGTGTGTAGACTAGCTAATTGAATACTTCCATCCTTTAATGAACGTATGACCTGATAATAGCTTAGTAAATAGAGGCAATATAATTTAAGGGCGATTCTATAGCTTTTCTAACACAATTTTGTTTTAGCTAAACTTTTCACAATTTTTCACATACATTTTTAAAATAATATAACAGAAATTACGATTGTAATTTTTTAAATTTAAATATAAAACATCTAAAAGGAAGTTACATTGTCTGTGCTCTACTAAACGAGAAATAGTAACATACATGCAGAAAGAAATTTAAATTGATACTATTCTCTTCATATAAAAAAATAGAACAATCGTGAATCACAGCAATAGAGATTATTTTCACAAGAGAAGTTAAAATAAAAATAAATTAAATAAATTAGTAAGGCTCGTATGTGTTCAACACAAATTTCAAAGAATTTAAGGGACTCAGAGCCGTGACAGGATGGTAGTGTCTAAATATTCTATTCTAAATTTATTGCGAAAAAATATCACCTCGGCCAGGGTTAAAATAAAAATATATTGTTTTTGATAGACGGAAATACGAGAAAGAAAATAACGATGATATATGTATAATCGAGTCGTTACTATTAAAATATACATACCTTAATTGCTGTTTCTGAAACACGTTCTCTTATCCATGAAACCTCACACATTTGTTTATTGAATGTTCCGCCATAAAGTTAGCATAAATATTCATTTCGATCAAGGTTTACAAAGAACGCCGTTGTTTTAAATCAAGTCGCGGCTTTAATGCAAACGCCGTCCATATATTACAGTTAATATCAACTGGTTTAGTTGGCACACAAGAGTTATGTATAAGAGATATTCATTGAACAGAAAACATTCAAAAAAAGTAAAAAGTTAAACACTTCCGCTCTGTCATTTTATAAAAAAATTTTATTTCTGACAGGCGCGTACTTTTATCTCTATCGCGCATAATATATAAATAACTGCTTATGAAAAAACGTCCCTGAAATAATATTATTCAGTAAAAAATAACTATGAGCAATTAAAACATTAACGTACACATTAACGCAAAACCTGTTACAGTAGTGCTATAGTACAAATCTTTCGAATCTAAGAAGGTAATAAAAATACAAGAGAAAGATGTGTGAGAGAGAAAGAGAGAGAGAGAGAGAAAATAATAATACGATTACATTATTATATTTATTACAATCTCATTTACACAATTTTTATAGTCATAATAATGTATAATATTACAAGAATAAATCTTAAAGTAAAATATTAAAATTATATAATTTGTAATGTATAATTTTATTAACATTTTGAAAACAATGCTGAGTAAAATTAAGGAATTTTATCTTTGAATCATTGAAATTACTCAAATATTCCATTTTTACGAATGTCCACGGAGAAAGATGGTAGCCAGTCCTAATAGTGATTTGGTAAAAGGTGTCATATTTTTTAAAGAGTCCATATGAATTTTACGCATATTACAACACGCAGATCGTCGCGAGCGCATCTTAGAGGACAGCCTTTTAGAATGTCTTTTTCGATCGCCATCATGATAATTGTGTCGTGAAAGAATTTTATTGGTAGCTGTAAGAAAGAAAAATTACGAAATTAACTCGGTTTAAAAATCTGTTTCAAAGATACACAGAAACTTTTCTTAACAATACACTTTAAAAAAAGAATTTAAAACTAACACAATAAAGACAGACAATATAAAATCTTGCATAGGACAACTAATATAAAGAAACAGCTGAGACAAGTGCTATTCAGTTCACGCTCGAAAAACAGGTTGCATTAAACTTACAATTGTATTTTACGATTTCTATAATAGGCTAGTACATTTTGCATTTTACTAACATACATATATATTCGCACATTCTATTTTTATAATTTTTTACACGTAAGAAAGTGTTATAACAGTTTCATATCTGAGGATTGAATATTATGGCGTAATTAACTTCTTACGATATTGATTAACAGATTCGGAGGAAGCTTCTGCTGAAGCGCTATTATTTGAATCCGATTTTTGGCGATGGAGTTGGAGATGAAACTGTAGACGACGTTCTCCGTTGCCCAGGCGGTCTACTGACAAAGATCCCGTACTTCCGAGGCGGAGGTTCCGGTGGTGCAGACGGTGGAAATGACGGTTCGAGAATCTTAAAATTATATTTTATATAATATTCTTAGCACGATACAACCAGTTATTTTTCTTAATCTTTAATCCATATACAAATATATGTTCATAATAACTAAGTAATATATTGATTTTGATACAAAATTAAAATTTAATTTAATTGCCGCGAATAAATTCTGACAAAAACGCGAACATATATTTTTATATGGATCTGGAAAAATTGATTAAAGGGATTCATAATTAATTTCGTTTGTTACATCGTAATACTATTCATTAATTTATAATATGAGAGATTTAGAATATCTTATTTAATGTTCCTTTTTTTAATTAAATGCATTTAAATCACCTTGAATTTCTCGAACGGGCTTGTGGCTCCTTCGAATTCTTTTGGACATTCATGCTCGATGGCTGAGCTAAGTAATTTGTCTGGGTACTTGTACTAAAAACCATCTACGATTTAATAACAATTACTGAAGCTGATAAGATCTATTGCAGGATAGACGTCGAGAGACGCGATCATTACTTTTTCAACAACTTTTTCTAATCCGGTGATTTTATTCGAGGTCGAGATTAATTCTGTACTAAGCCTGTGCATCTGAATAACAAATTCAATGGTTATAATTGAACATTAAAGCACTGCAAGTTTCTGCATTGATGATTCGCATAAGTTTTAAACTTACTTCATCTTCTAAATGTTTCGTAGTTACTTTCTGCGCATCCGTCTGTAAAGTAGATGCCCCTTTAATTACGTACACATAGATACCATTTATTAAAAGTAGTAAAAAAATTAAATTCCATTGAAGCACTGCTAACCGTTTTTACGATTACTTCTTCGAATTCCGCTTTTTTGTTTTTTAACGAAACCAGTCTGTCTAATTTCTAAAGAAAAAGTTCTTGATAAAAATATAGATAAATATAACAGCATTGATTACAGCACTATGGAAGACTGATCTTGAAAGAGTATATAAATGCTATAAGTGAAATTGAACTGACCGTTTTATTCTCTGCAACTGTTGTTGACATCTCCCGATTTGATTTTTCAATTCGTTTTATTATCTGGAAAACGATTGCATAGGAAAATATATTAAAATTAATTTGAGGTTTAAAGAATTAGTTTATTTTTTAATTATAGGTACAAAAAATATATGTTAATTAACTTTGAATTAACGCACCTACGTGCACACACACACACACACACACACACGCATATATATTTTTACATTTATTTTAAATATTTATAATTAATATATATATATTAATTACATATAGTACACTTCTTGCTTTTGTAATCATAATTTATTATGCGCACTACTCACGTTATTAGCGTACCACAGCGCTACATAGAACAAAATGTACATCAAAATACAGACGTAGAAGTTGTCCAAAACGTATGCTCGTATAAACGACTGCGAATATGAACAGCGATAGAAAAAATGTCAAGAGCAATTGTCATGGTAAAATCATTTGGCAGTAACGCTGATTTACCTGGCGGTCGTAAATGTTAACGAGCTTCAAAATCGGATGGGATAGTTGGGAGAAATAACACGGCCTCTGCGAGAACATCCTCGAGAGCGTAATCCATTAGCAAAGTAAAAAGAATTACGAAAATTAGAGAAACTCGAGCGTACCGTCAAGCGCGGAAATCGAGCAACGTATTTCTGTGATAAGACGCGGAAACGAGAATTTCCGGACGATGTGACAGCATCGTGTGAATGTGTCTCATTTACATCCGCCACTCGAGTTACTTGTGAATAGCGGAATGTCGTGGAAAGCCGTGCCGAACTTCGTGGAACAAAACGATTTTAATCGAAAGCCCTGTTCTTTAATAAGAATCGTACAAATTTTTAGTTTATTAGAATGTTATGCCGATAAAGTTGCCATTTCCTAAAATGTGTCGTCAGTTAAAATCTTGAATGATTTGACACTTTGCGTTTAAGAGTCTTCAAATTGCGATATTTTATGCATTGGTATCGTGGCTTCTGAAAAGCTTCCTTATCGGAGTATTATCTCCCCCGGGTCGACTCGTATAATAACGCCTCGCCGGATCGCGATAATGTAATCTCCTTCATATAAACATAATTAAGGCGCGAAAGCGTGTGCTGAAGCAGGTGACTTCATATGGCGATGGCTGCGTTTATCGATTGCAGAGGTTGCGATACGAGTGGTACGAATAATTCCCGCGATAAGAGAGAGCGTAATTTCGATAAGTGATAGGAAGCGCGACAGCGCAGAGAGCGCACAGGGGTCATAATTATCCTTATCTTTGTCATAATCTGCTATTATTATAAGTGTTACATTCTCGATCCCTAATGCTTATCGTACTTAAATACGTATAACAGCTTGAAATGTAATCTACGACCTTTCTCATTTTTCTATAACGCAACTCATAATCACCGTTTACGGGAGGATTTTAATTATTATGCGGGCAGTTTCGCTGTAAGAGCGACGAGCTTTATAATTTTACGAACCAAAATTTCAAACGTCAGCGCCACTACGTCGTTGTCATTAAAACGTGCCATTCCGCGGCCTCAACTCGGCAAGGGACTACGAGATAATAGCACAGGTATTAAATCCAACTTTACGCTATGCAGGCACTTTCGTCACGGGACTGGTACCGACAACTAAAACGCACCTTCAACTTAAACAAAGCCGCGAGTAACTATCTAGTAACTATCGAAAAAGCGGCAGGAATCAAAGTCGAGAGGGAAAAAAAAATCTAAACTCTTAAACAAACACTCGTTGAAAGTCGCGTTCGTCGCGTTCGAGTGCTCGCTCCTCTATCCGGCCCTCCGCTCAAAGCAAATTATGAACTAATCCACGAGGGATCGTTTGCTTTTTGCGTCAAGCACCGAGTCGGCTCCATCGACATCCTTCGATTAAATACACAAGGATTATCACATGAAAGGCATACAGGCCGCTCGGCATGCAGCGACAAACCGCACACACGCGCGTCAGCGTGACGTACGCCCGAATATGTACACAGCCGGTGATATGCTCGAGCATCGGCAGGCTCTAGCTGGGGCGAGACTGAGCCACTTGTCGTTTCCCATGATGCCTCGCGGGCAGGGTTGACTAACTAAATACCGAAGTTAGACGGGTCCCCGGGCCAGGGTTAAACGGGGCTTAAAAAGCTTGGAGCGGACGCGGGATGGTGAACATCGGTGCGACGCGCGTGAGACGCCGAATCAACTGCGAAAACACTTGAGATCACTTAGAGGAATCTCCGTGATGCGTTTGCGCCTCGTCGCAATGCGCGACGTCCGCAGATTCTCTCTCGCCGATCCATCACCCTCCCGGGGATGTTTATGTAAAACAGTAGCCGATAAACGCGGCGACCCTCGAGGTAGAAGCGCGATGGAACCACTTGACGCGTCAAAAACGTCAGTTACACATCGGGGGCGGTGCCGCTGCACAGGGTACGGCTGGATGGTACCTTCGGGGGTGCTTTTGTCGGAGAGAAAAGGCGGGATTGAGAAGCGACCTGAGATATCCAGAATAGAAATTGAGAGCCCGCCGCAAAAGGGCCGTTATTATTTTGTGAAGGGGGAATCGGTTTGGGGATTTTAATGGTTAAATAAACGCGACACTAAAATTTACACTTGATTCTGGTATGTAAAATAACTATTTTCCGAACGATATGCGTTCATTTTCTATATATTTATGTTATTATTCATGTCCCCTGATATCTTTCTTTAACTCACTCTGATACTCGTCTTCTCTTTTAAACACATTCTATCGAAATATAATCAAAGCGAAGGTCAGTCGCGATTCGCACAAGGATGTCCATTTATCTTCTTTACCCAAAATCCCCCAAATCAACCCAAGCTTCACCGCGCTGAACTCTACACGAAGGACGAATGACCACAATCGCCCTTCACGACCGAGTTATCGTGCGATCGGCATAAGCGCCAAAGATAAAGGTGGACGAGGCACGGGGGAGGAAAATTGGTCGGCCACCTAGAACAGGATATCGTCGAAGGATCGTGGATCCTGGCAGGAGGAGTTCACCCTCTCTTGTGTGCGAACTGCTACGGCTGAGACACGCCGTTTCGGGGCGACAGGATCGGGACATAATCGATTTGCCGTGAGCTCATCCGTAATTCGTTCCCTGCAGTCAACGCGACGAGAAAGTCTCGGCGGCAAAGGCGCCACCCGAGCGAGAAATTACTCATCGTTCTGATTGAGGTTAATTAATTAGATAATTAAGTCCGCCCCCGTCCGCGACCGGCGCGGCGCCGAAGGGACGGGACGCGGCAGGGTACACGACGGGGACGAGCGGCGAACGCGAGCGAGGAACGTCTCGCTTCTGTCCCCCAGGAGAAGGTCGACGCCGATCCTCGTTATAAAAATGCTCCCTCGTTATTACCGGAACCGGTTCGCTTCTTTTATCTCATTAAACGTCTTTCCCTGAATGCTCCGCTCGTGGCCTTGCTGTGGATAGTCACTGATTCTTGTTTTACACGGGGAAAAAATTTCCACCGCTGTGTCACGTTCAACTGAATCGTGTTTCTCGATCGATATACATAGAACTCATCAAACGCAAGCGATATTCGATCGTGACGGTTAAATAAAACGCGGCGAAGCTCGTAAGAGGCAAAATTGAGACACGCGACAAAATGAGATTGGACGTCTTTATATAAATGCGTCATTGTATAAAGTCTAGGAAATTACAGAAACGTGATAAAAATTTTACAGTAATTCGACATAAAACGGGCACTTTTTTAAACTTAACTCCGAGTCGCAGCCATCCGCGCAATTTTCTGTTTTTTCGCTTACCGCAGTAAAACCGCTGGCGAAGTAAGCCAGCTTACGTTCCATCGTACACAGGGCATCAGAGTCGAGGACTGGGGGAGGAGTTTAAAGCGAATCTCTGAAAACCCCGCGCTTCGATAAATTTTCATGTCACCTTTATCTAACGGTATTTCACAAGCAACGCTATCCAGGGGTTGGCTCGGCCGCGTATGAAAGAACTCTTTACACGTGACACTTAACGAGAATCTCATAATCTTGCGGGGATGCGACGCTCTCCCCCCCCCCTCTCCTCCCTCCCCCCTCTCTCACTCTCTCTCTCTCTCTCTCTCTCTCTCTCTCTCTCTCTCTCTCCTTTTCTCGTCCCTGACACCCTGAAAATCCCTTTGAAGATCTACCCATTGACGCTCGCGGTTTAATATTCCGTCACGGATATTAATGCTCTCCTAGCAACGACTCCTCGTAAATCAGCAAAGCCCCCATGCTGATGCACTTTTCGCTACCGTTTCCCGGCATCTCCCACCCGACCACGCCGCGGTTTCAGCTCTGCTTTCACCGATACCGCAATCTCCCTCGCCTCGTCCGTGAGATCCGCGCGAGGACAGTCGCGTTGATTGAGGATAATGCGAGATACCAATTACTCGTTCGAGTGAAGAATTCATTAGTGAAAAGGAGAAAACGTAGCGACGACAGAGCGCCTCTTGAGCTGTGGCCTTTTATACGAAATGCATCTTCTGTCACCAAGCACTTACATTGTCCTTTGATGTCATTCCACATGCATGAAATAACGTGCGACGTGAATCTTGATTTGATTCGTAAAACGTTATATTGATAGATAAAAGAGTCGAGTCAGAGGAATTAATGCGCGCAATGTACTACAGGAATGCGAACTGAATTTAGTGAAATTTTTATATTACCGTTATTTAAAAAAATGTACTTTTAATGTACATTTATAGTTTCAAGTTCGCTAATTAAATAAATGTTAAATGATATAAATAATGATTATATATTGAAAAAAATCTTAGTAAAATAATAAAACAGAATTATATAATGCAGTGTTTTTACGTGGAGTCATTTCACGGAGTCCTATTATATATTTACTGTTAACGCACGCCATGTATATGATATCCTCAAATAACGTCCCAGAGTTTTCTTCAAATAATATCTCAGATTTTAAAGTCTCACGTTTATCCATTTTTTGAGAAAGTATATTACCGTTCAAATTTATCACGGTTCGTGCATCGAAAAATATTCCGTCTCGGCTTTCTTCGATTTTACGCGCCTTGTGAAGAGAGAAGGATGTTCCCTTCGAGTCCTGTCGTTCCACCGAGCGTGAAATAAGTGTACACACGAAGTCCTCCCGCGCCGGTGCGAAGGGGCGCGAGGCTTTCCACGGCGGTCGCGACGATAAAGCGAATTTGCACAAGGGTAAGAGAAACCGAGGGAAGTACCTCGCGTTCACGGAAACACGATTCCTGTGTTCTTTCCTTCAATCGAACGAGGGATTTAAAAATAAAAAGAATCCCTTACGCACGAGTCGTTATAAAACCATAAAGATGTAATCGTAGACCGGGGTAACGCGGAGTCCTGCTACCCCTAGAGAATTATTGCGCGCAGGACTCGCTGAGCAAACGTGGCGAGAGAGTAAAGTTGCTTGCAAGATAGAATGGAAGATAAATAAATCGAGCATTCCGTTTGTATTACGTTGGTTGAATGAGGTCGAGATCCCTTTTTGACGTAAAAAGAGCTATTATTTTATTGTAAAATATCGTTTATTTTAAGTCAACTTATATAACATCATAACACTTTAACAT